TGATCCCAGGGTCCTGGGATCGAGCCCCACATCAGGCTCCCTGCTCGGCGGGAAGCCTGCTTCTCCCTCTCCCACTCCCCCTGCTTGTGTTCCCTTTTCGCTGTGTCTCTCTCTGTCAAATAAATAAAATAAAATCTTAAAAAAAAAAAAGACATATGGATGTCTGGAAGAATAGTGTTTCAGGCAGAGGGAAGAGCAAGTGCAAAGGTCCTGAGGTAGGAATGTGTTTGGACTATTTAAGGGAGAGGAAGAAGAACGTGGCTAGCACACAGGTGAGGAGTCCATTGGTAGATAAGGTGTGTGTTGACACAGCCTTACAAGCTTAGCCTCCAAGTACCCAGCCAAGCAAACTGTCCCATAGTTGTGGGCCAGAAAGCTCACAGATTGAAGACACAGAAATCACACAGTTTAACTGAGTCAATGTAAACTCAAGCATGGAGTCTGAAGCCAGTAGAAAGAAATGGAGTGGATTAATACACTTAGGCTGGGGCACAGGCCAATGGAAGGGCCACACCCGCTGAGTTCTATGTTGTACGTATGCTTTTGTCTTGTTCATCTCTGTGGGGCATCAGCCTTCCCCACGATCATGCTGTTCTCTAGGAGAACTAGACATGAGGATGGGGAAGATGGGAGATGCCTGGGTCAGCACAGGCTGTTGGAGAGCCAGGCCAGGAGCTGTAACATTAGCCTGATGGGCAGCTATGGGCTTTATTTATCTGCCTGTCCGGGATAGAAGGCAGGTGGGGCTTTGCATGAGTGTCATCAGTGAGTGGCTAAGGTAGGGCCTCTTGAAGACTGCCTGCCTCTCGTCCTCATCTATATTTAGGAGATAATGAATTTTCAGTGCTTTGTGTGTCTCGTGTACATTTAGTGATCGTGAATACTTAGTATTTACTTGCTTCTTACATTTCCTCTCTATCTAGGTTCACACATTTGTGCTCTATTTGCTTTATCTGTCTTCACCTGTCTCCCAGGTAAATAATATAATTATCTGTGCTTTACACATCTAATGATTTGCATCAGTCACCTTTGTTTTGTCTTGTGTAGCCTAGTTGAATATTCTCACTGTGGCCAATGCACATTGCACAAGGCTTGGGAGTTGGATGGAGGGTGGTGGCATAATATTGGGGTCTTACTAGCCATTGTAAGGACTTAATTTTTACTCTGAAGGGGACGTAGGAGCCGTCTGTTTAGATGAGCTTAAAATTTCATCACATGCATGAGAGATTTTAGGAAAGGCAGGAGGTAGGAACAATTATAGAAGCAGGTGCCAGGAGATTCTTTGCAGAGGGATGTACTTAGAAAAGGTGCTGAGAATGTGGGTTCTCCGGACTGAGGAATAGATATTAGTTTTACTCATTTGCCTACCAGCTGTTTCAATCTTGTCCTGGAGGCGAGGGGACAGCCACGTGCGGGATGAGGCAGTCAGCCCACGGTGTGAAGGGCGGGGCTGGGCACGGAGTGGATGGGAGTCAGCCTCGGGAACAGGTGCAGCCAGGTCTGGAAGGAAGTTAATGGGAGAAGTTTGCAAGGTGGGAGGTAACATACTACGTCTAAGGTTGAGAGGCACTGCTGTTTTTAACCCGTTATTCAATCCTTGCCGTAAGCTTGACTTGCCTCCCTAAGATGCCCTATTCTAGTTATTCCTTCTTTATTTTTTCCCATTGGAATGAATTTTAAATGATACAGTATTATATTAATCACCCCATTTCTGTGATTTGGGTTAGCCGGGGCAGAGAAGTAACACATTTAACTTTTCTGATAAAGTTTTGCACTGTTTGTTCATAAAGCAAAAGGATATAGCGATTTCAGTAGATACATAACCCTAAAAAATCCATTTAAGCTCTACCGAAGAAATGATTTAAAAATGTCTTTGTGGAATATCATTGATTTTACATTTTTAGGAGTCTCTTGTTGAGAAAGAATTTGGGGGTATTCCTTTCTCATGTTCCTATAACACAGAACTAACAATTGGGTGTTATTTAAACTGCAGATTATGTTTCTTAAAGAAATATAGATTATAAAACCTCTGAAATGGCCATAGTCTACTATTAATATTTCTGAAAAACAAAATTAATGCACGAAAACATACAAGTCATTTTATCTTTATTTCTCGTGAAACATTGCTTGACCAGCAAATGTTACGTGTGAGTATCTTAAACGTGTTTTGACATACTGATCAGCCATATGGGAGCAAATAGCCTGGAATCCAACATCACTCCTTAAAAGCCTGATAAATTCTAGGAGAATCAACCATTTAGTGGAAGTATCATAGCACCAGAAGAAAACGCTGGTGATGTGTTCTTATGTCTGGGGTGGGGGTGATGTTTCTGGTACATAGCATCGGATTCAGAAACCACGGAGGAGAAGATGGATAATTTGACCATATTAAAGAATTTAAAGTTGCATTTGGGGAATAACATCATGAATAAAGTCAGATAACAGACAAGAAACTGGGGGAAATATTTGCAAAAGTGACCTCAGGCAAAGGGCCAATTTTGATACCGAAATTATTTTTTAAAAAAGCATTGAGCCAGCTGCCTCACAGAAAAGAGAGACGAAGGGTATAAACAAATCGGTGAACAGAAAAGGAATACAATGACTGATAGGAATATAAAAAGGTGGTCGTAGAGTGGGTGGAAAGGACAACAGATTTCTTTTCACCTATTAGTATGACCAAGGTTATATGTTGTTTGAGGGGGTGGCGCAGAGTTCCTAGTTCCTAGAAATACGTGAGAGACAGATTGGGCACTGTTTGTCAAAGATATAAACATACAGGGGGCGCCTGGGGGGCTCAGTCGGTGAAGCGTCTGCCTTTGGCTCCAGTCGTGATCTCAGGGTCCTGGGATCGAGCCCCGCATTGGGCTTCCCGCTTAGCGGAGAGGCTGCTTCTCCCTCTGTCCCTGTTCATGCTCTCTCTCTCTCACTCTCTCTCTCTTTCAAATAAATAAAATCTTAAATATATAAACATACATAGGAATTTCCTTTTAGGAGGTTAGCCTATCAGCTGTTCCCACTCTGTAAGAAAATGTTCACTGCGTCATTTTGAACAGCCCCAAACTGCTAAAATATCCATCAGCGTGGTCTCGTCAAGGCAGAACCACAGTATGCTGCCTTGGAAAGTGAAATATTTATGTATGCGCACGACATGGTGGCTGCAACGTGTGGTTTGCGTTGCATACACGCATGTTTATGCTCTCTATTTGCATTTGGACAGACATCCTGGAAAGGCAGGTTCTCAAACTGTTTACAGGGGTTACCTGTCATGAATGGGGAGTGGGGAGTAGCCTAGAGGAGGAAGGGGCTTTGTCTTTAATGTCATTGTGAGCTGTTGAATTTTTAAAATGATGGACACAAATCCCTTTCAGAGTAAACTGTCATTTCTCTCCCTGTGAATATGCAGCATGGTATCTGTCTGTGTCTCTATCTTACCTCTATTTCTCTTGCTATCGCTTCACTATCTCTACGTAATTCATCTCTCTTTAATTAATATATATACATTATACTAAGGGAGAATGCTTATTAGGTAGTTCTAGAATCTTTCACAATGATGTTAACTGCCTTGAAATTTATTATGCCAAGTTTGTCCTTGGCTATTTGTGTATAATATTTTATTTTAGCATAACATCATATGCGTACTCTTATATGCTTAATGAGGAAGGCGCTCAAATGGAGTAACAAACAAATAAATGTCTTTATTAAGAATAGGTTGGGGGTGCCAGGGTGGCTCAGTCGGTTAAGCATCCAACTCTTGGTTTCGGCTCAGGTCATGATCTCGGCATTGTGAGATCAAGGCGGGGTGGGCTCTGCACTCAGAGGGGAGTCGGCTTGAGATTCTCTCTCTCTCTCCCCCGTCTGCCTCTCCCTCCTGCACTCCCTCTCTCTAAAATAAATAAATCTAAAAAAAAAAAAGCAAAAAACAGATTCAGTAACCTTCTTATGGTGCTTAATATTTTGGAGCTAAAAATAGAATATATGAATTGTGAAGAAGTCTGTCTAAAATTTTTTCGATAGAGGTTTTATCTCATTTTGAAACAACAGTTTCATCTTTTTTTTTTTTTTTTAAAGATGGAGCCCGTAACTTGATGTGGCATTTGTTGTGTATCTGCAGGGGCCTATCTCTCTCCGGGATTTCATTATCCTGTTTACGGGAAGATGTCAGGGAGAGAAGAGGCAGAGAAAGTCAATAGCAGCCCTAGCATCAACACAAAAACAACGACGGAATCGAAAGCCCTGGACTTGCTCCAACAGCACGCCAACCAGTACCGTAGCAAGTCTCCCGCCGTAAGCCGCCTTTTGTTGTTGCTTAAAAATGCTGTGTTTTGAGGGGAGAGAAGGGGACAAGCTAGGAAACGGTCTTGAAATATAAATGGCTTTCGAGCTCAGCTGTGATTTCAAGATGCTGTTTTATCTTCACATATAAAGCATGGAATGTTCAAACGTGGTAGGATGCTCTCACACAGGAGGAAAAAAGTGGTCAGAGCTCTTGTGTGTGGTGCTGGTGAGCTTTTCTGTTGCAGAATGCACTGTACCTTGACTACCAGGAGGGTGCTTGTGAGGGGGACATTGAAATTCATAGGAACCAACTTTGGGTGCGAAGTATTTTTGAGGCTTTGGTGCAATTTTGATGCTGGTGGCTGCATCTGGTCTGTTTTGGCCTTGACCCCTTGTCATGTCCCCGTAACTTCTGAAGCCATGCGAACAAGTGTCTTTGTCTTTGTGAAAGATGGCTCCACCCTTGCTCCCACCGCCCCACCCTACCCCCCCAAGAAAAGGGGCATCTGCTAGTTCTAGAGGTTGTTGTGAAGAGAGACAAAGGACGTGGTAGTTCTTGCCTAGAAAAGAGACGTTTGGGATAAAATATAGGATCCGTGATGTGGATGAGTCCATCAGAGACTCCGTAAGTGAGAAAAGATGATTTATGAGTCTCTTTCTATGGGTACTCCTTCTAGCGCCAAGATTTTTTTCAAGTGAGAAAAAGAACTTTAGGTGGGCTAAGTTCTGGTGGGTAGAAATGTATAGGAGAGACAGTCCTTAACTGAACTGTGATTTGGGAGAACCAAGAGCTTCTCTATGAGCCTTCAAAAATGGGCAGATTCTGGAATGCTTCCAGAGGATAGGGCAACGATTTCCTGTACTCAATAGTGACATACAATGCTGAGATGCGTATTTTCACTGGACTAAAATAGAGACAGGCATATTTGAAGTTATGAGATAGATTCTCCCCACCCAATGTCAACAAAATCCAAGGATAATTAGAAAACTTGACTTAAATCTCCACAACTACCTTTTTTTGCCCCTGGATCAAAGTATGAAAGTTGTTTCTGGGAAGCAGTTGGGTAGATTCGAATCTTGAGATTATGAGCGGGCATAAAGAAAAGTCCTCCAGTTTCCACCATCTGAGGAAAACCTTGATGCCCCTTGGTTTACTTGTGGGCGGGAGCACTTCTTTAGTGTTGGCTTAATTCCCGCTGAAACTCGTGCGTGCCTTTTGACGTTGTCTTGCATTAATAAGGAATGCTAAGTATCTCTGCATTTGCTTTTTAATCAGTGACAAATACTGCGCAAGGGACAGAGGTGGTTTAGTAGTCCTGATGGTTTTTCAGAGTTTTAAGAGGGGCCCATCTCTCTTTTCTGTTGCAGCCCGTGGAGAAGGCGACAGCAGAGCGGGAACGGGAGGCAGAAAGGGAGAGGGACCGTCACTCCCCCTTCGGGCAGAGGCACCTACATACGCACCACCACACCCACGTTGGCATGGGTTACCCGCTAATCCCTGGTCAATATGACCCTTTCCAAGGTCAGCAGCTCCGTCGTTATCGCGTGGCGCATTCTGCTGGGGAGAACTGTTTGCCCAAAGTACCTTTCGTGTCTTAAAATAAGTATATTGAGCTTTGAGTTCACATTAACTCTGGGGAGTAAGGAAGTTCTTAACTCTTATTTCCTAGTGACACAGCGGAGGCGATTGCCCACCCCCTTTTTTTTTTTTTTTAAAGATTTTATTTATTTATTTAACAGAGACAGATAGCGAGAGCAGGAACACAAGCAGCGGGAGTGGGAGAGGGAGAAGCAG